TGTAATTCTGTTTTCTGGAAGTGCTGCTTTCTGAGCCTCTGTTGCAGCTGTAAATGTTGGGACTTCTGTCTTCATTCCGGGAATTTCCTTCAGCCCTGAACTCTTTCCTAGACTCATCACGTTGCTAATAGCCACTGGATTAAAGATGAATGGAAAGTCAGTTTTAGATTACAGTGACTGAAAATGTCTTATTCTGCCCTCACTTTTAAAATGTCTAGTTTATCTGCATCCACAAAGGTAAAAATACTTTATTCTTGGAACATTATAGACATTGGTTAGTTTTCTTCAAATCTGTAGTGTTGCTGTTGAGAAGTCTGGTGTTATTCCAATTACTGATTATTTATGATATTATCCCAGCTGTTCTGGACCTCATGGAAGTATTTTGGTGTAGGTCTTTTGTTCAGTGTGATAGGCTTTTTTTTTGTATTTAGTTTGGAAACTTTTAACCCCCCTCTTGTTTTTTGTTCTATCTCTGTCAGAGATATTTGCTCTAATCTTTTAGGGGAGATTTAAAAAAAAAAAAAAAAAAAGCCTGGCTTCCACTATTCTAGGAGCCAAGTTCAGAGAGGTGACTGAGGACATAGAATCGACCATTCGGTATATATAGTCTCACATAATCTCCAGTTTTTAGCCTGACACACAACAACAGTCCTCAGCTGTGCTTGAGTCAGAGTCTTTTTTAATAACCTGTCTGCATTAAACTTTCCTTCAGACTCTGCTCAGGGTCTCTTGAGCAAAGGCTTGTGGCTGTGGAGGAACTGGGAGTCTTATGATTTTTGGCCCTAGGTAAGCTCCTTCCTTCAGTGAATCTTTTCATAGGTCTTGTGATGGGAAACAACTTCCATTTGACTTTCCCCATTCTGCAGGAGCTTCTGTTTTGGCTTTCTCTTCAAAGTCAGTTATTGCTGGCATATTCACTTTTGTTTATTTTGAGACAGGGGTCTTACTGTGTTGCTCAGGCTGGTTCTGAACTCCTGGGATCAAGTGACTTCCACCTTACACTTGTGAGAAGCTGGATTCACAGGTCATATCACAGTGTTGGCTAGGCATCTTCTAAACTTTTTTATTAGAAAACTGATGTGTTTTTAGATTCCTTCCTTGTTTTCTGTCCCTGTCTCTTGTGGTTAATGTTTTTTGTTTTTTATTCCCCTTGCTATTGTTTCATTGGAGGATTGGAGAAGTAGTGAAGACTTTTTTTTTTGGTCAATTGCTGTTAACTGGAGTGCCTTAATGAGGTTTAAATCATTAGTTGAATATTATTTCTTAGTTGCTTTCCGTAAATATTACAAGGACCTTACTGGTGTGATATTTATGGCTCCCCCCCCCAAAAAAAAGAAAACCTCAAATACCAACTATGATTTTTCTATGTGTGTATATGTATACACTCATATTTTATGTGCATATCTGTATATATGTATGTGTATATAAAACATGTAGCCTATGTATAGTACATATATTCAGTATTTTAAGATGGGCTCTGAATAGACTAAAATCTTGAACACTTCATTACATAGTGTTTTGACATCAAGAGTTTATATTATCTTGATACCTTACTAAAGCCATCTTCTATTGGTCTAGATTTTAAGTTGTAATTTTCACAGTATGAAGCATGTATAATATTTTACTAAATAACTAAGATTAGGCTAGATCTCATGTCAAATTAACTTAATTACTTTGTGCCAGTAGAATTAGTAACACATAATTTTCCATAGTCTATTAAAATATTTTAACCAGCTTCTACCCCAGCAGGAGAAAAAACAATTAATAAAACTAATGAAATAAGCTTTCTTATTCATCCAGCACAGATTGTTATTTGAATTGAACAAATGGCTATTTGCAAGATTGTTTGAGGCCTGGTTAAGAGCAGCATACTTGTGGACATATGGAATGAGTCATACCATCTGGTTACAGTCATACCTGGGTGGTGGTCATTAAACGAACGCTCCTGGGGATCTGCATATGACTTAATTATACTGCAAAAACATATTAGACTGCACCAGTAGGTTACTTTGGAACTTGGAACAAATTAACTGGTGAACATACTTTCAAAACATCAATACTGAAGCTATTCAATGACTCAATTTTTTTTTTTTTTTTTTGGAAAAAACTGAAGACTTAAAGTGTGTATTTTAAGATTTGGAATAGGTGGTACCTCAGTATTAGCCCTGTAAAAATGATGTGGTTTACTTGCCCAACACTTCCATCAAATAGTTATGACTAATATCATTACAGCATTTATAAAACACTGAGTTCTCATGGTGGCTAGTCTAGGCTTAGGTATAAAGGGAAGTGGCATCAATTTTCAGGAATACACATTAAATATAAACATTTCAGTTTTATTTTAATATAACGAGAGTTTTTCTTAAAAATGTTTTTAAAAAAGGGTTCAATTTCTTTTTTTCCTTCTACAAAGTGGATGTTATTGTGATCAGATAATTGTTTAGATTTGCCTTGTGTACTTGTCAGTTTCTTTGCTCACCTTTTTATATCTCAAGACTTCATAGGTATTTTTTCTCTCTTAAGGTATATAAAAATATGTTTCTAGTGAAGATCTTCTGGGGTAGACTCTTAGATTTTTAAAATCTGAGACGTCAATATTTTCATCTCATACTTCAAAAATAGCTTTTCTGGGGTTGTAACATGTTACTTCCTTATACCACTTGAAGTTAATATTCTGATATTTTATTGAGAAGTCTATTTAATCTGTCAAATTTTATTTCTTCGGTCTTTTCTTTTTGATTACTTTTAAGATGTGTCTGTAGTTTTATCAGAATGCTTCCATGGATTTTATGTACCCCACTTTTGATAAGCCCTGCCTGTAGATATGTGCCTTTTGTTAGATCTGAAAAATCTCAGCCATTTTTCTTCAAATGTTTCTCTGTCTCATTCTTACACTACTTTCTCCTATTCAGAAAAGGAATTGATAAGATGCAAGTTAGACCTCTTAATTTTATCCTCCTTTTTTGTCTATTTTTGCATTATCTGTGTTACCTTTGTATTCAATTTTTTCTTTTTGCCTTCCAGTTCATTATCACTTCACATATGTCTAATCTATCTGCTCTTTAGCTGACTTATTTTTCACATTTATAAATTTTCATTTCAGAAAATTTTGAGTTTTAAATTAGTCTGTTTTTCTTTTTTGGGAAGGGATTGGTCCTTAGAAATTAACCTTACTTTCAAAGTATCTAGTTTACCATACTACTGCTAGTTTACAATACTACTTGATTAAATATGCAAGGTGCCAATTAAAATACTTAATAAAAATATTTAACAAAATATTTAATAAGTTTTCTGCCCTAGAAATTTGTTTTTGCCAACCAGTTTCTTTACATCATATGGATCATTCTTGGTTGTTGTGGTGGACACTTTTCCTTAGACTGTTTTCTTTCTTTTTTTTTTAATATTTATTTTTTAGTTGTAGTGGACACAGTATCTTTATTTTATTTATTTATTTTATGTGGTGCTGAGGATCGAACCCAGGGCCTCACACATGCTAGGCGAGCGCTCTTCCGCTGAGCCACAATCTCAGCCTCAAGACTGTTTTCTAATTTATATGTATGTGTACATATATTTTCAACTTCCATATTTATTTTGTTATTATTTTAGAGAGATTCATTTCTATGTTCTGTTATTCTGATCATAAAAGTTATGGAAAGATTGAATATTTTGTTGGCTTTGGAGCAAAGTATACAATGTTTTGGAGAGGATTGAACGTTGGTAGAATTTATATCTGGATTGAGATGCAAAGGAATTTTATTAGGTTGATTTTGCGGGTTGTCTGTGTGCATGGTTCTTAATTGGCAGGGATTTTCCCCTCCATAGATTTTGGCAGTGTCTGAAAACAGGAGGACCCTACTGATATTTAGTGAGTGGAGACCAGGGATGCTGCCCAACAAAGAAAGACCATGCTCTTTTTCTCGTTTTGATATTCACATTCATAAAGCCAGGCCTTAAAGTCCAGATTCTCTGACTGCCATTACTAGTCAATTAGACTTTCCAATATTTCTTGCCATTTTTTCCAGTTATACAATAGTACATATTCAATGTGGAAAATTTTAAGATAATAGAAAATTAAAAAATAGAAAAAAACCATTTAATTTTGTCTTGTATCTGCAATGGAATGTTAGCATTTTGAAATATTTGGTTGGTTTCCTTTGAAGACTTTTTTTTATGTAGTTCTGGAAGTACTATTTTAATCTCAAAAAATTAAAACATAAGTATCAGTGTTCATAATCACTACCTTTTTGGTATTGAAGTCTAATGTTTTCCTGTTATGAATGATGTTTGGACAGCTTGTCCATAATTATTTACATTTCAGATGTCTCTTTCAGTATAACTTCCCCAAAAGTGGTATTTTTGGACCAAATGGCATACATGAGGTGGTTGGCACAAATTGGTGCATTTATCTTACCATCAGTGTATGAGGTTATTCATTTTTCACTGCAAACTCATCATTCTGACTGTTACTAAAGAGATTAATAAAGTCAGTCTTCAGTTTTTCACCACCCTCTTTTATAAGCATTGATAACCATGTACATAGCTTTTGGAGTCTAAAATAAGAAATCCTTGTATATTCTTGCATTGGGTATTTAGTTGATCTGTCTGAATAAATGGAATATACAAGAACAATTAGAGAAAGCAACATGAATACACATAAAATCTCCTTGGGATTAATCAATTTATGTAATAAATGTGGTCTTGCAAAATAGTCTTGCCAATTTTGTAAATTGAGCCAATTTTAAGTGTATTACAAATACTAAATTCTGTAAAGGAGTATTCTTATTAAAGGGAAAATGTCCTTTCATAGTTTGGTTATGAGTGTACAGTCTGGTTGAATTTGTTTCCTAAGTTATTTTATTCACTTATTTAGGTAATATGAATACCTCCTGGTAGTGCTAGGAGATAAGTATATACACTATACATTGTATTGCATTCATGAGATTACATCTATGTAATGTAACTTTAAACTATCAAGAGTTAGCTTTGTGAATTGCTCTCTCTTTATTGAACAATTTGAGAGGTATAGACACATTTGAGAAAAAATAGTAAGATAATTTCTGCTTAAATTGTTTTGGGATAAGTTAAGGTATTAAAATGTATATATATGTGCATATATGCATACATGTATAGTAAATGTACTAATAAACTTCCCCCCAAGTGGTAAACTTAGTCTCATTCTTACAATGCAGATAGATTGGAAAACAGTGTAATGTTTTAAATGAATAATAATGACTTCCCACTTTTAGAAATTTTATAAGTATTCTCAAGATTTAAAAGTAATTTCTAGAGCCTTAATTTGTGATTGCAAATTAATTGTAAAGGTACTTGAAAGTTATTCATATTGAAGCTGTTTCTTCACAGTTAAATTTGAACATTTAACTAGAATAGAATTGCTGCTGTTTAGTGTCTCCCCTATATAGTCTTATTTTATGACCTATCAAGAGCTGGAAGGAAAGCAATGTATTAGTTAAAATTTAAAACAAGGAAAGCAGAAATAATATGGAAACCCAAGTTAACCTTTCTCCACTCAAAATGTGAAATAGAGAAAGTGTAACATTAATTTAGATCTTGACCTGAAAGGTATATTATTCATCACTGACAAATGGTGGTGGGGATTGGGAAGAAAGAAGAAGGATATGAAAATTGAGGAGCTTCTGTTAATTCTGAACCTTAGTGTTTTGACTTAAAACTGTGCATTTCTAGAATATTATACACCATATTTAATTATTCAAAAGTATTTTTCGAAGAGTTTTGAAAGGTCTTTGGTTCACTTATATTGTTAAATATTTAATTGGCATGGATGATTGCAAGTTGACTATGACAAATTCCATGAAAATATTATTAATCTGCTGTAGAACCTAGGTACCAAATAAGCCTTTATGAAAGGACATGACTCCAAAGTAATTTTATGCATGGATTTATTTAATCCTAGTTCTTGTGGGTGGATTAGTCACTTCTATTCAATTTTACATGTTCCTGATGAAAGATCATCAAGATAAAGTCTTTGTAAGGCCATCCATATGGAAAGGCTTCTAGGTTGAAAGACTTTAAATGTTGATGAAACATATCCACTTGTTCTTAAGCCCTTCTCTATGACCCTGCTGTTCCCTCTTGAACATTTACTACCCTCTGAGGTGATTGAATGTGTTCTTTATTATAAATAAATACTTACTTGAATTGATGGAGAGATAGGACTTTATACATATTGGTTAATTACCTCAATTTTCCTTCCTTAGCTTTCATACAGTTTTCTAAATTAGCCTCAAACTTATTTAAAAGTAGTAGCTCCAATCTTAACACATCATTGTCTTTTTGTTAGGAAACATTAAATATTTAAATGATTAAAATTTAAATTCTTTTCATAGTGCTCTTCTCATAGTCTTTTCCCTCCACTGAAAATACTCTAAAGCAGTATTTGATTTTTCTAGATACTACAATACTGCATGTATTATATTGGTGCTATGGGTTCATGGGTAGTTAATTGAATTTATCTTCAAATATATTATTTAGTATCAGTCTAGTTAAACTTAGTTTGACATCTGTTGTGAATATTATTTAAAATAATTTTCAAATAATTTCAGTTTATGGTATGAGAACACTTTCTGAGTTAAAATATGCTAATTAAAAATGAATTATTATATGGCATCTCACTTTAAAAATATAATTTTGTGAAATATCTTATTTTTTAGGCGAGGACTAAATCCACCGCACAGGGTGAAATCTATCTCCATGACAACATTTACACAACAGGAAATTGAATTCCTGCAAAAACATGGAAATGAAGTAAGTGTTTTTACAATTTTCAACTTTTTTATTGGCAGTCATTTCATTAAGATTTAAGAAGTTGTTTAAAATGGTAAATTTTACTGTTAAAGTGTTATTTTTGTATTTGAAATTTTTGTTTACTGCAGTTATACTTTCCCTTAAACCTGAGATGAAATATGTTTTACAATTCAGCAGTGTTGAATGTTACTGATGTTTTCAGAGAACATCTAGTATTGAAATTACTATTGGTCTATTACTGTTAGTCTTTAGTCCATGGGGGGCGGGGGGCAAAAGGAAGAGAATTAGCTTTGTGATACTGTGTTAAGCTTGTTAGGCTGTTTTGTAAGGTCCTCTCCTTCCTTTTTTTTTTTTTTTTAATTTTTAACTTTAATTGTATTTGTGATGATGTTTAGCAGGTGATTAATTAAAAAAGGGAATGAGTTTTGAGGGGCAGCCTAATGTCATGGGAGAACAGAGTAAAGATTCGGAGGGGAACTTTTCCTTCTTGTTTTTATTAGTCTTCCAGTAATTCCATTTTGTTTGCTTATTTATTTTTGGTTTTGTGTTTTGCTATTAGTAAAAGTCATGATCTAGTACTTTAAAAACCAATAAAATAAAGAAGAAAAGTGGTATATTTTATAATCTTGATAGGGTGAGATGGTCAGCCCAGTTAATGAATAATAACCATTTTTATTTCAAAGGAAAGTCTTATTTTCTAGAAAGGAAAGAGTACTTCAGGTATATTATTCTGGTTGCATATCTTTGAAACTCTTAGTAGACTTAAAAGAAGTTAAATATTAGGATTTCATAGTTTGAATCTTCTCTTTACCCTTAGAAAAATGTGTAAAAGCATTTTGTACTCTACCTTTCTTCCTGATAATTAGTTAATATTTAAGATTGTCTTTTTGTTACGCACATGTTTTTGGTGCTAAAATAGTGAAGAAGAAAGTATAAATTGACAATGATGTATAATATACATGTTTCAGAGAAGAAAGCAAATTTTAAAGTTTCCAATTGTGCCAGTGACAAATTATTTTGAGTAAACCAGATTTCCAGAATGATGTGGGTACAATGTAAGAAAATATAGAATTGTATAAAAGGGTAGAAGGTTTTTAATCATAGTAAGCTTAGGATAATATATTCATATCCAATTGAACTATTTGTATAAAGTTTGAAATTAGCCTTGAAATACAGATTTGAAGTTTATGTATTAGAGTGTTGGCTTTATATACAAGATTTTGAAATTCTGAATGCAGTCATAAATAAATAAATAATATTATTCTGATCTTAGGTTTAAAAATATAACAATAATAGATAAGGTTACATTTACAGACCTAGAAAGGAAACAATCCATTGGAGAAGAAAGTAAAAGCATGCTAACATGTCTATAGTTAAGGTATAGTGGAGACTGGTCTCAAAATACTAAGATTGAAGGAATAAGAACACTTACATGAGATGTACCTCTCAATAAATTTTAAATTTACAATACATTGATGTTAACTACAGGCAGACACAGTGTTGTATAGCAGATCTCCAGAACTTATAGTAACTGAAACCTTATACCCATTGAATAACAATTCCCCATTTCTTCCTTAGTCCCTGGTGTCCTCCATTCTACTTTCTGCTTTTTTTGTTTGACTATTTTGATTTTGTTGGAAACTGAACCCAAGGACTCTCCACCACTGAGCTACATCCCTACCCCTTTTTAATTTTTTCTATTTTGAGATAGGATCTTGCTAGTATATTCAGACTGTCCTCAAACTTGAACTCCTCTTGCCTTAGCCTCTAGAATAGCTGGGATTGCAGGCATGTGCCATGGTGGTTGGCAGTTGGACTATTTTAGAAATCTTATGTTAAATGGAATTATATAATATTTGTCCTGTCACTGACTTATTTCACTTAGTATAATTTCTCAAGGTACACCCTGTCACATCTGAAGTAACATTGTTTAATATCAACATTTAGTATATATAAAAAGATGGGTTTCAAACTCATCAACCTCCCCCTCCCCTAAAAGGGAAAGAATAAGAATAGATTCATCAGTGAATGTAAAATCATACACAGAGGTATGCAAGTTAACAGACCACTTAAAGCACTATGATAGTTACTGTCCCAGGCACTGTGGATGCAGTTATAGTTGGATCACTCAGGCTTAGCAAACAAAAGGTTCACAGTTGGTGAGACAGATAGATATGTAACAAATAATTGCAATATGATATTAGATAAATAATGATAAGTTTCAGAAGTAATATGGAAAAGAGACTGAATATTGGTGTGAAGAAAAGGATTGGAAAGATGGAAGAGGCAAAACATTTGCTGGTTTTTAATTGTGGTTAGGATTTAAGTTCACAGGGAGAAATATAGAATTGGAGTAAGCACAATACACAAAGAAAAAGGGCAATATCTGTGTTTTTAAACACTTAAGAGTTGTGTAGAAGGTGAGGATGAATATTATGAAGTGCAGGATGGTTGGTACAACTTCATAACCCAGACTTCATGGACTTTATGTGCAAGTGTTTTATTATCAGTTTATCTTAAGCACTTAAATCTTAATTGTCACATGCATGGAGAATATAATTTATTTCATAAATTTCTTTTTTCCCCTTAACACTTTGTTTGAATCAGGCTCCAAGTAAGGCCCACAAATTATGAATGGGCTAATATGGGGTTTTAAATTCTTGTACTACTTATAAAACCTGGATATTTCACATTTCAAAACATCTACTGTTACCTTCAATAATTTGGAAAGAACCATATTCATATATTTAGGATTAAAAATGACACTAGCATACATCTTGTTTATGAATGGATTCATGTCTAAGGATGAATTTTTCTGAATTTAAAAATCAGAAAGTATATTGTCTTTGGCAGCAATCTTGAGTTTTCTGCCCACATAGGGGAGTTTTAATCTGTTGGAGTACATGTTTGATTGTTGTTACCCTTGGAACATGTCACTGGCTTAAGCAGGAAAGCACCGTGAATGATGGATAACTGGCATACATACAAACATTTATTTGTTTGTTTGCTTGTTTATTTATTTATGGTACTAGGGATTGAACCCCAAGGTTCTTTACTACTGAGTGACAACCCTAGCTCTTTTAAAATTTTTAATTTTGAGACAGGGTCTTTGTAAGTTACTTAAGACCTTGCTAAGTTAGACTGGCCTCAAATTTGCAATCTTTTCTCAGCCTCCCGAGTTGTTGGGATTATAGACATGAGCCATTGTATCTGACTTATGGAAGACTTTTTATGCTTTGAATGTTTCTCTAGACATATATGGGAAACATCTGTGTACAATTATCTGCATATAAAACTTAATTATGTCTTATATACATTACAGTTGTGAACATCATATTGCCAAGAAAGTTATGCTTCAAGCCCAAAATCAGAGTGAGAGGGAATTATCAAAATACAAGGCAAAGGGCATGGATACATGGAAACTATTATTTGAGACCATCAGTGCAATGGCTTATTATGTGTGTGTAGCTAGGGGAGGTTTCACTTCTGAACTTTTATTATCCCTGGCACTACATAAAAATAGAAACAAATAAAGGTATTGTGTCCATCTATGATTAAAATAAATAAATAAATAATAGTTCATTGTTTTGGGAATTTGCAAAGTTGATGACAGTATTAAAGGTGTTTGAGTCAAAGTATGTCATTAGTTTCTACATCTGTGGTTTTACAGATTACTTGAGTAATACTTTAGCATTTTCTGACTTTATCACCATGTTGAATATATTGCAGCAAAGTACTTCATATTTATTTTCTGAGTAAGGTTTTCATCTTTTCTTCCAAAAGCAATTATTTCAGAAAACATTTCTGCGTATTTATCTTATGTGTAGCAGTCAGCTTTTGGTCACCATGACAAAATACTTGAGATAACTAGCTTATAAAGAAAAAAGGTTTATTTTGGTTCATAGTTTTGAAGGTTCCAGCCTGTGACTGACTGACTTCGTTGCTTTGGGCTTGTATTGAGGCAGCACATCATAGTGAGAGTGTATGGTGGTGCCAAACTGTTTACCAACTGTTCTTGCTAGCTAGCAAAAGAAAGTAAGAAGAGGGCTGAGTCTGATCAGAGCCTATAATTCCTTCAAAGGCATTCCCCCAATTACTTCAATGAACTCTATTAGGCCCTACATTTTATAGGTTTCTTGAAACATCATGCTGGGAACTAAGCCTTTAACACTTGGACTGTTAATGCTTTCTTTTGTATCATAGTTACTCTGTATGTGCTTTTTTGGTGATATTGTGGATATTTTCTAGTTAAAGGAATTTCACTCTTGGTTTAACTTCTGAAGATCAAAGTTAATGGAAGGAGGACCAGTGAATAGTGCTATATAGATAAAATTATTTCCACTTTTTATTTTCTATTATATTATTTGGAAACATAGGTTTCCTTTTCTAGTAGTAAATTAATTAGCTTATAAAGAAAAAAGGTTTATTTTGATTCATATTGTTTACTTTTCCTATTTTTATCATTCATGATCAATTTGTTTTTTATTCTTGAAGCAGAAATTTATTAATCATCTCCTGTACGCTAGGAACTGTTCTTGAATAGTGTGAATACAATTATGAGCAAAAACATACAATAAAACTTGCAGTCTGAGAGAGAATTTTTAAAAAGTACATGTACTTAGTGGATTTATAGCAAAATACCTGAGATAAAATTAACATATGAAGAGAAAAGGTTAAGTAGATTTTATTTTATGATACAGTTCTTCAAGCTTTGGGGAAGTTACATTATATCTTTGGGAAAGACTGGGTTTATTTTATAATCAGAAACAAGCATTGTCACAAATTATAAATACTGAAAAATTTAAAATTCCAAATTATTGTGTTCTGGTGGTGTAGGAATATTCATATATGCCATTTTATGTTATGCTGAGTCTATTATAAGTTGGAACAGGATATTAGTGAATATTTCCTAAATTACCCTGAAATGGTGTTCATTCTCAATACAGACTATTAAACTCTTACAAGGGTAAGTAAGACCAATATGAGAAAAAGCCTATGAG